AAAAAAAATTTTGTTCAGCGGCACTACCTACGTCTGCTACTGCTGCTCAGCCCATGGCCGACAGCTGTGGTGATTATGCGCACCACAGCGGCAAACGGCACTCGTGTGCACGTTTGAATCAGTAGCTCGTATTCTGGTGGTAACCGTATCAGCCCCGCTGCTCTTCGACTATTGTCAACAGCCAAGCGGGTTGCGAGCCCGCGTGCTTGGCGGCAATGTTTTCGCATACACTGCATTGCTGTACATAGCTGTACACGTATGCGAAAATATTGTTCAGCGGCGATACCTATGGATGTGCTACTGCGCTTCGGTCAAGGACCGACAGCTGCGATGGACGTTTTACGGCTTCGCAGCGGCAAATTGCATCGCTTGCGCGTGGACGCGCCGGCGCTGCAATTTGAACCAGTGTCTCCTTTCGTATGTGACTCTTTCTTTGCACAAATTGTTGTGGCGCATGGCTACTCCTGCGGGTGGGCGGCGCACTGCGCTTCGGTCACGCACCGACGGCGGCGGAGGACATTCGTGACCTCGCAGCGGCAAATTGCATCCCATGCGCGTGTACGCAGGCGTGCTGCAATTCGAGCCAGTACCCTTGTGGTTATGCGTCTGGTGACACCACCGTCCAAACCGCAACAACTGTGTTTTCTCTACCTTGGTGTGTGTACACAGCAGTGTAGGCACCGCCCAAGAACAACAGGGACACCAACAAGTGACCCGTCATCATTAGTCGTGAGCCATCATCTTAGCAGGGCTTTGTCATACCCCGCCTATCGCTCCCTCAACAAACATCATGACCGTACCGGTGAGTTCGCCCTGCCTCTGCCCCCGTTGATGACGTCTGGAAGGATGAAACGCGCGCGTGCCCGGGCTCCGTCCAAGCCCCCGCTCGCAGAGAGAAAACGAAGAACGCAACTTCTTGGCCTCCCAATCTGGCCAATCCTTGCTATCCCTCTCTGAGTTCACGTACTGCTGTTGTATAAATCTGCTATTCCACGCTGTCCAGCGAGCCTTCTCCTGCACGTGAACTCTCCGATAAAGTGACCATCCCAAAAGGACTCTTCTCAACCTGATACCCCGAAATACAGGAACAATAACGCCTCTGGCAAATTCGACCGTTTCAATAAACAGTAGTCTACATCGGCTATATCTGCCTCACCAAACTTGCTAATATTATTGAGGAGGAAGAGCTGTTCTTTTCTATGATATGCATTGGACCGGCTCTTGGAACGGGGACAGACACGGGATTGATTGGAGAAAAGGAGACAAGGGGTTGATTCCACTACTACACACCTCCGAGAAAATATGGGTTGTGTTTCAAGTAGTAGTATCTCGGAGGAGCCACCAGCAAGAACAGTCACGGGTTCCGCCCCGCTGGACGGGAGGACGTTTGCGGACATCATCATAAGGTGCGTGTGGTCGTTTTCTTAGTCTGTAACGAGAATAGTCTAGAGACTAGTCTACATGGAAACCGGAAAACTTGGGTGTTTCGCTGTGTTTTCCGTTGATCGATCGTTCTTGCGTAGTCTAGACTAGTCTACATCCAAATTGGTGCGGTTTATCTCGATAGCGCAAAATGCACGCCTAGACGACCTGCCAAGCATTATCGATCTCCTTGACACGCGGGGCAGAGCCCAACTCATCATCCCTATGTTGCCGGGTGCCAGGAGGTTTCGGGGCCCTTGCTGTCTTCAGTTGTAGCTTGGTACGCAGCAGTGGCAGCCTTCGCCTGGTAGAAATCTGGCGGGGTATTTACCGATGCGGATCATGTTATTGGAATAGGTTCATGACGGAGAACCGCGAGGGGCCGTCGTTAGAGCAAGGAGAGCTTCTGGAGTACATCAGGAACCAAGGCACATCGGCGGACGAGGGAGACGGGATGTGCAACAAAACCCCGATCCAGTTCGCGTCTCAGCACCGGTTGATCGTTTGGCTCATGTGAGGGTGTGTGCTTGCTGACGCGTGAAGTCGATGTGTTGCCTGCTTTGCGTAGGAAGCAAGCGTGAGACACAAAGAGAGGAGGCGATTGCTTTCTATGCCGCTGGGGTGCTGAGGTGCTCCCGGTTTCTCAGGTGCGCGCGGTGGTATAGACAAAAAGTACGTATTGATGCAGGTTGTTTTGGTTGCATGGGGTGAAAATGGACGGGCACCATCGCGGGGGCTCTCTCCTCTTCGGCAACAACTTCGGCCAAGAAAAATAAGATTGCCTTGCAATGGTTCGGAGGTGAGACACACAGAGAGGAGGCGATTACTTTCTATGCCCCTGGGGTGCTGAGGTGCTCCCGGTTTCTCTGGTGCGCGCGGTGGTATTGACAAAAACATATATTGATGCAGGTTGTTTTGGTTGCATGGGGTGAAAATGGACGGGCACCATCGCGGCGGCTCTCTCCTCTTCGGCAGCAACTTCGGCCAAGAAAAATAAGATTGCCTTGTGAAGGTTCGGAGTCAGTTCTGTTCTTGAGTGACGTCTAAAACTCGACCTTCCTGGTTCCCGGTCACGTGTTTTTCTCGAGGTCATCACGATCCCGTGTTCCCGGTACCAACTTGTGACTTGGGGCATGTTCATGTGGCCCGGGAGCAGCAGCTGGACAATAAGCCACTTCGGTTCGATAGGTTCCTATCAGACTGGCTCTGTTGTGACGTATCACACCACAAGAAGGTGCCCATGATCCAAATCACCACTACAGCGAATACTTCAACACATCGCCGCCGAGAAAAATGTATAACCGAAAATCCTTCTGTGATGCAATGCGATTCTTATCCGATTGCTCCCTTATCTCGCCGGTCGGGCGGGAGGTCCAGAGCGCGATGCTGTTGAAGGTTAAAGGAGTGATGAGATGGCGTCGGAGTGAAATTTGAAGACTGTGACGTATCCAGCATGAACCTACCTTGAGTGGCAACGAGGAAGCGCCGGAGTCAAACGCAGCAACATGTTCGTCACTGGGCAGGGATGCCTTGGAAAACGCAAGAGCTCACTCTAGTTTTTCTTGGAAAATTTCCACCATGAGGCGTAAAACAATGTTTGGAACCACTGGATAGTGTCACGAGTGGATCTATCTGTAGCTCGGAAATTGAGCGAATACATGTGTTAAGGGCGGGAAGACGATTGATTATGGAGATGCATTCCATCTCGTAATGTTGGGGGGACGTGGCCCACGGGGAGATGGAAGACGGTGTAGAACAGGAGAAACAAGAGGTGCAGTCGATGTGCCATTTGTGCTGATTTTCTCACAATCTATCTACTCCTCGCCCCCCCTCCCCTTGTCGATGTTGAACACACACGTAGGTTCATCATTCGTCGCTTGAACGTGTTTCGGCCGGAGTTCCTCGGCGATGCACTCAGGGACATGAACGCCGTGGACCCGAGGCTTCGCCGGACGCTGAAGGGTGATGACCTCGTCAAGTACGACGCTGTTGTGAAGCTCTTGACTGTTCCAGCTACCGCCGTTTTTCTCGAAGGGCACTACCGGGGTCAGACGAAGGAGACCGAAGAAGGTGAGATTCAACGAGCGGGAGCTGACATGCGATGGAAGAGTGGCAACGTGGTTGTGCGTGCGTTTAGGAGGTGTGGGTGTTTGTGGACGATGGTGGCTTACTAAGACAGGATGGGTATTTCCGTGTATTATTGATGCTGCTGCGAATATTGTCAAGGCTAACACAGGATCTCGGCGTTGTGTTTGCAAAGTATCTGCACCGGATTTATTGTTTCATGTTTGCGAAGCATCGCTACCGCTTTTTATGGGAGCAAGAAGTTGCAAAAAAGCTGAAAACCTTTCTGCAACTTTTGGTCGGCAACTGCTGTCGATGGAACTTTTGGTGCACGCTCTTTATGAGACGAAGAAAGTTTTGTGCACGGGACTGGTGGACTGCGGAGGCATGACCCTTTTTTGTTAGCAACGACGAGGAGCAGGCACACGCCTTCACACCATACCGCGAAGAAACCGGGCAGAGCGTGCGGGAGAGGGTAGCTGCAACCTTGTTTCTCCACCCTCACGATACTCCAAAGCATCTAACCTGGTACAAGAAAGATGCTAGGAGCTACCTCCCTCGGGGTGGCATTGCTGTTGCTGTTGCCTCCTCCTTCGAAAAGCTATTGCTGGAAAACCAAACCACGAGCACACAATCCACGCGAACTTGAACCAACCCCTCTCTGATGTGGGTATTTATTTAGGGCCAACCAAAACGTTTTTCGCGATGCATTCGAAGCCCCACTGCACCAAACCTTGGGCATGCAAGATGGAGCACGGAGCTACCTCCCGCCGAGTGGCCTCTCTGTTGCTGTTGCTTCCTCCTTCGGAAAGTTGTCGGTGGAAAACCAAACCCGTGGCGGTCGAAAACACCGAGCTTGAACTAACCTATCCGCCTCGTGGCCGATGACGGTCGTTGCGTCAGCACAAACTTTTGTTTCCGGCGCATTCGGCACCTCACGGCGCTAAACCTTGGCAATACCAAACAGCCCATGGCATCACCTCCTTGCAGATACCGTTCGTGCGGCAACTCGTTGAGTATTCGTCGAGATATCGGTTGTCACGGCCTTCCCACAATCGAAGCTGGAGAGGAGGTCTACGTGTGTGGTAGGGATAGGCGCTTGACGTGGATTGGTGGAAGTTGCGCCCACAACTTTTGTACGACACCTTCGTCGCAAAACGTGTTGCAGACCCGTCTCTCCAGATTGCAGCTTTTTGCTCCGGAGAAAAACTTTCGGGGCAACGGTGTGCTCCCGTACTGAGCGTACCTGAGGATAGTTGTAAGAAACATTGCAAAACTAAAGACTTTTTTTTCAGCATTCTGCTTCCATAAAACGCGGTCCTGCTCTTTGTTTCGGTGTCTTTGGCGTTACTGATATTCCCCACCCCATCGGGGTTGGGTTTTCGTCGCTTGGCAACGACGTTGTAAAACAAGCCGCCCCCCCCGGTGTTTGCCATCGGGGTTGGGTTTTCGTCGCTTGGCAACGACGTTGTAAAACAAGCCGCCCCCCCCGGTGTTTGCCATCGGGGTTGGGTTTTCGTCGCTTGGCAACGACGTTGTAAAACAAGCCGCCCCCCCCGGTGTTTGCCATCGGGAGTGGGTTTTCGTCGCTTGGCAAGGACGTTGTAAAACAAGCCAATTCACTTCGTGAACTCGGCAACCAGGTTACCGTTTTTTTTTTTTACCTCCGTTTTTTTTTTTTTGGCGGTAACCATAATGGTGGTCGAGTAGATCATGTTGTGCGGGGTGGAGAACCCGCTCCGCGCAAGGGGGATGATCGCACCACGTTGTGTTAAAATGGTCAAGCACCCTCGAGGCAGTTACACAGTGCTTACAACTGCCTCTGGAAGTGAAAGCACCAGAAAATAAATTTAATTCATACGCAGCTGTCATCCGTATGCAAGGAAGTAAGCACAAGATGCCGAAAACCCTTGGCAGGATGCAGCGCACCCTTCATGCGACTCGCCGAATATCTCACGGCGCTTCGCGCTTGGTGATGTGAGAGCCTGGTCCGGTGAGAACCCGGCGTGCTCCGTCCCGGCTTTGTAGGGATGCGAGGTCAATGGTCTAACGACTACGGCATGCACGACTATGAGTACACCCCAAAGGGACGACCCAAAAAGGGGGAAAACAAAGATGACCCTCTTCTTACGCAATCACTCATGGGTGGTCCATGGGCGGCCCATGAAGTGCCCATCGTGGGCACTTCAAACTAGAACTTCGCCGCCGGCATATCAACCTAGAACTTCCCACCTTCACATCAACCTAGAAATTAGCCACCAGCGCTAACCGATCACATACAGTATCGTGTGGGCTTGGGGTCAGGGTTACGGTTAGCGTAAGGGTCAATCGCCTTTATTGTGCCAGTTTCAAAGCAGATAATCGAGTGTTTAGGAGTACACTGGTTCGGTTGAAGGGCTCTCATTGGCCCCCCAAGGGCCTCCCATGGGTCACCCATGGGTCACCCATGCGACGTTCGGGAAAACTGTAGAAATTGTGGGAGACTGTGCTGGTCGATACTTTTTCTCTTCCGAGTCATCGACCAAAAAAACGAGATCCTGCAACGGCCGCTCGTCACACATACATACACCTTCCACCGCAATGGTGTTTCGGTGATATCTCCGCACAGAGTGAAGCAGCAGCACCTGTAAAGCTATCCCGCGCGAGCTGTATCTATGGTCCGTCTTGGGTGGTGGCCGAGAGAGACCACAGGGTGGTTGCAGGTACGGAAACTGATGGGACGAGAGTCAACAGCACGCTGGAAAAAACCCACGGCGCCAGCGACCAGTTTTTTTGTCTGTTTCGCCCGTGTCCCAACTTTGGTTCGATGTTCCCTCGCCACCCACTCAAGCAACAGCGACGACAAAAAAATTTACCATGAGCTGTGTGTATGGTCCGTCTTTTGTGGTGGTTGATACAGAGCAGGAGGCTGAATGGCGCTCAACAACTATGAGCGCGAGAGATGTGGAGCGGGAAAAATGACCCACCTCGTCTTCAAGCAGATGTTTTTGCTCTTTCGCCCGTGTCCCAACTTTTGTTGGTCGATGCCCCCTTGCCATCCACTCACGCAACAGCGATGAAAAGTTATCCGCCATGTTTTGTGCGTATGGCCCGCCTTGTGTGGTGGTCGATAGGGACCAGGAGGCTATTGCGCCCACAAGTTGGGTTCGCAAAAGTTGACAGCACACTCAAAAAGACTCGCTGCTGCTGCGTCCAGGCGCTCTCGGCTCCCTTGCCGCTTGTTTGCTGGACACATCGGGTTGTCCGCCTGGTTCAGTCGAATGAAAAAAGCAACGGCTACCGCTGATGGTACCGATTCTGCACCAGTCCTAAGATACAGCTCGTGTGAACACTGTTAGAGTTTGCGGAGATCAACCGTCGAGATTCAAATGTAGGTAAGCGTCATGTGGTTGTGACCAAAAAAAGACAAAATTGGACTATTTGGCAGCACCACCCTGTCTAAAAGTTCCAAAAAAAGACAGGATGGCGTGTCTTACAAGGGTTTCTTTTTGTGGTCGGTCTTTTTACGCTGAAAAAAGACACCGTTAGAAGGGATTCTGGGCCAGGTGTCTTTATTTTGTGGTGAAAAATGGAAAAGACAGCCGACAAGGAACCGTAATACATGGCCCTATTATGCTTGCAACGCTAAATTTCATGCTCGCTATGCAGCGAATAACATAGACCCTCGCGCATGCCCCGGGGTGGTAGGTTGAGAGTCCCTTCTGTCAGGCAGGGTGCTTGCCGCACCCCCGCCTCCGTACCATTTCGCTACTGTACGACCTTGTCACGTCCCTCTGCCCTGTTTTTGGGGTCTCCCACACTTTCTACAGTTTTCCCAAACGACCCATGGGTGGCCCATGGGTGACCCATGACCCGCCCATGGGGACCCTGTTAGGCCCATAGGCAGCCCATGAGTGACCCATGGGTACTATGCTAGCCTTGGGCATGCCCACGGGAAGCCCATGGGCGGCCAATGAGAGCCCTTCAGACAAGTGATTACCTGCTTTGGAACGGACACTGTAGCGGCTAGCAACCCTAACACAAACCCAACCCCCATCCCCAAGCCCACTCAAGACGTGCTAGGTTGGCGCTGGTGGCTAATTTCTAAGTTGATGTGAAGGTGGCCATGTTCTAGGTTGATATGCCGGGGCGAAGTTCTAGGTTGAAGTGCGCGCGGTGGGCACTTCATGGGCCGCCCATGGGCCGCCCATGGGTATGATCATGGGTGACCCATGGGAGTCCCATGGGCGGTTTAGCAAAACTGTCAGTAGGGTGGGAGATGGTGTAGTTGCAAGTAAGTCCGTCTTGCGCTGCACGACTTGAACTGGTTGCCCCTCCCGAATCCCCGAAGAAGCATTGCTGAAATAGCCCCCGGCCTCTGCGTGTGCGCTTCCTTATTAGTCCTTTCGTACCGCATCAACGGCGAGATTCGACCAACCCATCAAACCATGTGACAACCATGTTTCATTGCGAGTAACATATTGTTCGCGCTTTCTAGTCCGCGGACCACCCTAACAATGCCGGTGCGACTTTCCGCTATTTACGTTTTGCGTCAGCGCTGACGGCGGCCTTCAAAGCGCTGAAGTACACGGCTCCCGAGGCGAGAGAGATTCCTAACGAGCCGCCGGCGCTCGCTGCGTGGATGATGGCAAGCACCACTGCCAAATTAGCTATCGAAGCGTACACCGGGGGTCTCTGGGGTCTATTCACGGTAAATATGCTTGTTGTGCCTTGCAAACCATTGTGTGACATCCTGGTGTGTGAGACGCTCAAATGCTTGTACACTCGAAGCAGTGCACTCCTTGCTATCGTCCGTACACTAAGCAGGGCATCATCGATGAACACAGTTGCTCTGACAAGCGACGTTTCACGTGAGCAATCCATTACCGCCTTATCCGAACATTCGGATTCCCTAATAAACTTCAGAAATTGTTCAGGAAATCGGCTCGGTTCAGATCATTCGACTTTTCAAAGAAACAATGGCGGAACAAGATCGTAACCCAAACGCTCGCCTACTCTGCCGGGGTTCGAGGTGGTGCGCTCTGGTCTTGAAGAAACTGTTTGCTCCAAGGCACGCTATGACGTTCTGAGGATCATTCATTTTTAGCGAGAATAATCTTAGAACACGTATTCCAAGGTTCATGCAGTTATTGGGTTTTCAGGTTTTGGGCTTTGTCGCTTGCCACCTCGCCGTTCAATCGTCCCGCCAAAGCTGTTGGCGGTTGTTTGTGCTCGGGTAATTATCCACAAAACTCCCGCGTCGATGCATGAAGGATCGTCGAACCTTCTTTTAACCTCCGCCGATCGATGCCAAAGCAATAGGCTAGATCTGATGGAGCTGGTATTTCACACTAGCTTCCAAAACCAACAGGTTGGGAATATCACCCTCTGTGATGCAGGTCCATCTGAATCCAAGTTTGTATCCTCCTCCAACTTTTGTCCCGGCCTCAGTCTTGTCTGAAGCTTGCGGAGATCGTGAAGAGATGGAGTGCCAGAGATCGGGAACGCCTTGCTTGGAGAGCGTTTGCCGAGGCTCATCGTGGAATGATCGAGTCTGCACGAACTCTGGCGAGTCTCTCACACTCGAGTTGTTGAAAAGAGGGTAGCTCTGGTACGTCGGAAAAGTACACGAAATGTTATTTTGCACGATCTTACCTCGGCCATCGATTGACCCATTCGCTCGCGTTGCGGCCGGCCGAGTGTCCGCGCCGACTGCACAGCGGCGCCGAGCAACACAACGTACAAACGGGCGTAGCCACAGGATCCCGTTTAATCTGCACTCGGGAGGATGTCAACTGTGGTAACAGAATCATTCTCGAACATCGGTTTACTCGGCGCGGTGCCGGCGGGCCACAGGGGCAGGGTAAGCCCGTGGCCTTCGCCATGGCGATCGTGTTGGCAGTGAATAAGCATGTGAAACAACCATGCATAGCTGCTGATCGAGGCAGTACAGTGGTATCCGCCAGGAGCGGTTTCGTAGGGTGCGGGAAGTGCGCCTGGTTGTTCTTTGACACTTAACCCTTTTGGGTCTACAGGCGTCCTGACACTCGTTGATTGATCATTTGCAAATGCTAGTGTGGGGGCATGCCATGGAGTTGCCGCCCCGTATCCCTCCACGCCAGGTGTTGGCAAGTCCATAGGTAGGTGTGTCTTTAGCATCTGCGCCAGCCGGTGACCACTGAAAGACATGTTCCAGCGGTGACAATCAAGGTCCCTGAACGGTACCAAAATTCGAAAAATGTGCAATGAGCAAAATGCCGCCATGAATCTCTCCCTTATCCTTTTACAGAGGCATACATCAATAGCTCCACATACATGCCCTCGCCCGACTTGGAAGCCACTGAAGCAAAGAGCGGAGGCAGAAAAGGGCCATTTCAGAAGGACCCTCGTCTCTTTTCGCTGCACTTCTCTCTCTCTCCCGCCCTCTTCCCCCCCCCCCCATTTTTTGCCGAAAAGGAGAAAAAAAAGCTATAGACCCAACGGGGACAAGCCCAGACGATACCCGGTTATGAGTGGATACAGAACGTGCCCTAAGTTGACACCATTGAGGACGTGAACGGCACTTATTCATGGTGGTTCCTGTTCACAGAACGCCATGGCGGATGATCCGGGCATCGCGCTGAGTCCCATCTTGAGCAAGTCGATCAAGAACAGCCTCAAGGCGTGGACCGGCTCTGTCCAAGACCTGGTGGAACGCTTGTGCAAGGTGAACAACGCATCATGACCGGGCTAGAGGAGCTCGCTTGGTGAAAATCACCTGGGAGTAGATTTGGTAGTTCTTGTCCTGGTTCAGGATTAATCAGGGTCGGGCCAGTTTTAGTTGACATTGTCTTCGTAGGTTCCACGTTTCACCCCTGACATTGCGTCAAGGCGGGCGCTCTCTCGCTCCATTCCAGGGTGCGTTGTGCCCCAAGTTTATCTGGCTACGAGGTTTGTGTCATGCTACGAGGCGATTCTTTTGTGTCTGAGGCGAGCGCTTGTTGAAGACCTGCTAAAGTCGAACGAACTACACGGAAGAACAGCGCACCAAGGCGTGGCGAGAGACTCTGATGAACGTCTGCCTTGACCCTGAATGTATCATGCCGTTCCCGGTGACAGGAAGTCGAGGCGGCTATTGCAAATCCCAGCACGACACGCGACGAGCTGAAGATGCTTATGGCAAAATCTACCGTCGAGGTCCTGGAAAAGAGGGCGCTAATGAACGTGAGTTCCTGTATTCTACATGCTCTTGAGAAGCCCGATGACCACTAGGATGGCGAAGTCTATTTCCTCAGACTTTTTCTTCCCATATATCGGGCGCAAAAAAAATTATGCTCGACGGGAGACTCGGACCCCGGACATTAGCTTTTCTTGAGAAGCGCCTAGTGGTCTAGTGGTGATCGTGGTTCTCAACACATGCCATGCAAACACAGCCGAGAATTTTCTTTTTGGCGATGCTTGCGGGGTGAGAGGCTGCTCCGGTTGTCGGCGTGTCGCAGTCTTACGGCGCACGCTGCGGCGCTTTTCCCCATGTATTTCAGGAAGGCCTCAGTTTACCCAGAGAAGAAGAAGGTACCCACCGATCGTGCCTGGTTGGACCACAACACACAACCGTGAACGCAACAACAGCAGTACTGTCCTTGGTGCTAACGGTTTCTCCCTGACGACGACCATTGAGGCCTCATCCCAAATACATGTCACGTCCGGCCCCTCCCCCACGTCTTGCTCGCACCGTCAATTGATGCCCGTTACCGCATGCAGGTTGAGCTTGAAAAAACAAGGCGAGATTGCGACAACACGAGGCGAATCTACTCTCTCCAGACAACCGTGGAAAATCTGAAGCCAATGGTGGATCGTTTCCTGCAGCTGGACGAAGACTTGAAAGAATCGCTGCAAATTCTGAAACACGGCAGGGAGGTTGCCCAAAGGGAAATCGATGAGGCACTTGATAGAGTGCTGAAGACGTACCTCTTCGACCGAGGGCACGGCAATGGGACCTACGCCGCTCTTGCGCCGGATCTTGCCGCTGCTCAACTGAACATCGCTGGTGCTCCATTGGGTGCCGGAAATGCTGATGCACCCGTTCCCGCCGCCGCTTCGCCCTCTCCTACCGCTGGAGTATCCTCTGCAGTCGCTGCCACACCTGAATCCCCCGTTGTTGCACCTGCTCCCGACGCGACTGAACCTGCTCCCGCCGCTGCTTCACCTGATTTCGCAACTGATTCGCTTCGTACCGGGATTGCTGCACCCGGAGCTGGCGGATCTTAGCCCGCATTCAGCGTAACCCCTCCGGGTACTTTTGAGACTGATCCAGGCAGAGGCGGAGCTGCACACGGTACAGGCAAGCCCCCCACCCTGAACGGGAGATGCTGCCACCGGTACCGGCGGTGCTGCATCTCCCGTGAAATATGCAGTAGTGTTGGATATCGTATCGTTTATCGAAAAAAGTTGGTTGTTTCGATATTTCGATGATTCGATCCGATAATTCGAACAATACTCCACCGAACCCCCACAGCAGCAGCACACAGCAGCGCACAGCCGCAGAGCTACAGTGCACAGCTCAACAGACACATTCGTGTTCCTGAATGGCTCCCACAGGCTGTCGTGGTCCAGCGGCATTTCGCAGAAAGACCTCGGCCGGAAGCAGAAACGACCTGTCGTCGCGTGTCGTAGAGATGTTGCGTATTGGTGTGTTGATTCTATGCCAACGAATGATTTGTTGGGCGTCCGGTGGCTGGCTTGCTTCCACATTTTTCGTATTTCTTCGTGGGTCGTGGTTTGGTAGTATTGAACGCGGTGAAGGAGGTCACTGAATAGAGGTCGCGAAATGTGTATGTTTATTTAGCCAATAGCGGGAAGCAAAGCAGCGGTAGGTCACAGAATGTGGCGTCCTGCAGCAGCGGAGGTAGCGGTGCTGCTGTAGCTCGTAGACTTTGTAGTCTACCACAGAGGTTACACTGCTGTCACCGCTCTATCACAGAGGTTGGTCTACACTGCTGTGAGATCGGTAGGCCCGAGCGAGCTCTGGAAAGAGAAATGTAGATAGATTTTCTTATCAACTGACTCCCTGGTCAGGCTTTGATGGGTGCTAGATGAGAGTGAGCACAAGGGGCGAAGGCGCGCTTGTGTCTCATCTCAACAACAAAACAAAAACAAAAAACAAGCAGCAAAAACACAGCAGGTTCCGAGGGTCTCCGGAGTAATGGCCCGAGTACCGGAATTTCGGGGTTCGGAACAATAAAACAACTACAGTCTCGCCTGCCAAATTATCTCCGCTACAACTCTGTGCTCATGTTCTCTGCTGAGTACCATCTCTTCTTTCTGTATTATGTCTACGGAAGGCTAGTTGCCGCAGTCGCACCTATGGTAAACTGTGCCTGACTACGTTGTAACAGTTTTCCTCGACACGACCCCTCGATTAGGCAAGTAGCCGATGTTCCAAACAACCTTCACTTCGCTGCCATTCTTGCGACCCCTCGATTCCCAATCCATATCAAAGAATATCGACCTCCACATGAGTGAATCCATCCTGTGAGCAATACACGCGTCCAAAACATTCAACCATACTATGCGATCTTGTGCTTAATATCTTCTAGCACTTGTAGTCCTTGATGAGTTGCATGATGGTGGCGAATCGCTGCTTCGGGAGATGTTTCGTCGCGATGTCCGCCAACATCGTGGCACTAGGTTGGTGGTGAAGAGTGATCCGGTGCCCCTTCGTGAGTTCCCTGAGGAAGAAGAACCGGAGCGCGATGTGCTTGGTTCTAGAGCTGAACATCGCGTTGCTGGCCACAGTCAATGCTCCGGTGCTGTCGCTGTTGATGGGTACCGATCGAAAGGTCTTGAATCCGATTTCCGTCATGAAGTTGGAGATGTAGACTGCCTCGCGAGCACTGAAGCTCAGCGCTTGAAGTTCGGCCTCCACGGTGTTCTGTGCTGCGAGAGTCTGTGCCTTGGCTCCGTAGCTGATCAGTCCCCCTCCTAGGAAGAACAGGTATCCGGTGGTAGACCTGCCGTTGTCTGGGTTGGCTCCAAATGACGAGTCAGTGAAGCACGAGAGTCTGAACTGCCCCTTCTTGTACACGATCGGCAGGTCCGGCGTTCCGCGTAGGTACCGTAGTAGGTGCTTGGCCGCAGCCATGTGGACCTGTGCTGGGTTTGCGCATGCCCGTGTCAGTTGGTGCACTGCGTATGACAGATCGTAGCGGGTGCATTGGGCAAGGTACAGGAGACTCCCGGTGATGGCCTGGAATCTCTGCTTGTCCTCGGGTCCGAGTAGTTGGTCTTGTGGCTGCTCGGTTGATAGTTCTGCTCCATACCCGGGGGTGCTGACCGGGTTTGCCTGTTCCATTCCGTATCGCTGTAGGATATCTCTCGCGTAGGGTCCTTGCGATATGGCTAGTGTGCCATGTTCGTAGTCCCGCTGCACTTCGATGCCGATTACGCGCTTGACCTCTCCCATGTCTGTCATTTCGAAGCTGTCCATGAGTTCCTTCTTTTTCCTGCTTACGATCTCCTTGTTTCCGCCCGTGATGAGGATGTCATCGACGTAGATCGCGAGGATTGTGAGTTCGTCCCCGCTTACGAAGATGTAGACACAGGGGTCAGAGCGAGTGCGCTGCCAGCCGAAGATGATGAGTCTGTCATTGATGGCGTCGTTCCACAGTGACGGGGACTGTGACAGGCCGTACAGACTTTTCTCCAGTTTGTAGACCATCATTTCACCTGTCGTAGGGTCCCTCTCCTCGTCGCCTGGCGCCGGCCTGACGTAGACGTCTCTGTCGGTGTACGCGTTCAGGAATGCAGCTACCACGTCCAATTGGTACACCTCCCATCCGTGTTCGCAAGCGATGGCGAATAGCATGCGGATGCTACCCAATCGGGTTACTGGAGCGTAGTTCCTTCCGAAGTGTCGTCCTGCCCGTTGGCGGTGTCCCCCCGCGACTAAGCGGGCCTTGAAGCGGCTGTCGGCCTTGATCTTGAACACGAAGCGTGTGTCGAAGATGTCCTCATCCTTCGGTACCAGGCTGATGCGTACTTTCTTAAAGACTTTGTGCTTGGCGAGATTACCCATCTCGGTGTCGATAGCGCTCTTCCACTGCTCGCGTTGTGGTGAGTTCATGGCTTCGGTGTACGTGCTCGGAGTTTTGATCTCTTGGTGTGTCTCCCCCAAGAACCCTTTGCTCGAGGTGCCCGTGGCGTAAGCATACGCCCGGACTTCGGCGAAGGGGTCTTCATCCAGGTGAGCAAAATCCGCCGCGTCAGTAGGGCATCGTTGCTGCGCTTGGTGGGTGAGATCGAGTAGTTGATCCTCGGTGAGCTCCAGTGGGTCGGGGTGGCTGACAGCCATGGCAGAACGGCCTCTGTCGTTCATGTTCACTTCCAGAGATTTCGGGATGCATGAAGGGTCGATAGGGTCATCTGTGGGTTGGTGAGTGCGCGTGGCAGGACGGGTCACCGTTAATCGACGCATTGGGATGGGGGCTGGCGAAGCGGAGTCCGTGTCTGTTGGCGTCGTGGGTGATTCGAGTGTCGTGTCCTGCGATGTCCTGGATGGTGTCGTAGTCCGCGGGTTGTTGTTGCTGTCAGCTCCCCCAGCAGCAAAGTAGTTGTCGGAATCCATGCCCGCGTTGTTTTGGCGAAGTTCTGCTCGGCTGATGTTGTCTTGCTGCATGTTGCGCATCTCGTGCAGCAGGAGCTCTGATTGTGTTCCGTAGTCCACTTTGTTGTCTTCGTCACCCGTAGAGGTACGGCGTCCGAGCAATGACGTGAAGTTAATCACGTCCTGGTCATATCCGAGACGGTCGTCCCACCGGTGAGAGGGGATGGTGTTGGGTGGAGTCTCGATGAAAGTCACGTTCCGGCTCTCGTAGACCTTGTCTTTGCCCTCCACGTAGATCCGGTACGTCTTGCTGCCAGGTCCGTAACCGCAGAGCTTGCCTTCAAAGGTCCGGTCGTCTAGCTTCTTCTTGTATCGCTCGTGATGAACGAATGCGCGGGCGCCGACGGCACGAAGTCGAGAAAGGTCCGGGGTTGTGTTGTACATCTTGGAATACGGCGTGGCTCCCCCTAGCGCCGCGTGTGGGGTCCTGTTGGTCAGGTATGCTGCAGTCATCATGAGCTCCCCCCACATGTGTTTTGGGAAGTCTCCATCGCGCAGTAGAGCTCGAGTCACAGCCGCAAGTGTCTGGCCATCCCTTTCTGACACTCCGATTTCTTGGGGCGTGTTGGTCGCGGCGAATTCCAGCTTGATCGCAGACTCCCTACAGTAGTTGCGCATTTCTTCCCCAGTGTTCTCTCCCCCTTTGTCACAGCGTAGAACCTCGATGCGGTAGCCTTCAGATGCTACTTGCATGTTGTAGGCGTGCAGAGCTTGCGTGGTTTCGGTCCTGTCGCGCAGTAGGTACACTTCCCGCATTCTGGTGAAGACGTCGGTCGCTTTGGCGACATAGGAGTAGGTGCGTCCGTTGTACTTCGCAGGCGGGTCGATTGGTCCCATGTTGTCGAACTGGACGAGTTGGCCTGGTTTGGTCAGGACACGGCTGGTCTTCTTCGGGACGGGAGCCTTCTTGTGCTTCGTGATTTGGCAGTTGTCGCACGGGGATACAGGTCCGTCATATTTCACACCTGTGGCGGGGTTGCGCCGCAAAATCTCCATAGCACTTGGATTGATGTGGCCGAGGCGCCGGTGCCAGAGGTCGGCGCTCACGCTCATCGCCACTGAGCATGTCGCGTGCAGAGTGTGATCGATCTGTACCGCTTCTGGTTTTCCGAACTTCGGCTTGCGCCCTGGTTCTTGGTTGTTCGGGGGTGTCTTGCTTGTCGACGCTGGATCGCCCTTGAATGTGATGGCGAGGGTGCACATGCCTTGGTCTTGAGTCTCTTGTTTCAGAGGAACGACGACTTCTCCGCCGATGGTGAGGTGTGGGGTCTTGTCTTCCAGGACACATCGGAGGCCCTTCTTGAGAAGGGCCGTTGGTGCGAAGATGTTCCGGCCTAGTCCTGGCACGATGAGACCTTGTAGTTTGACGGGTAGTTGCTGTTCTTTGTCGTCTTCGATGGTGCAGTGTAGGATCCCAGTGGTAGTGCCTCGTAGTTGGCTTTCTCCTGCAACGTCGATGATCTTGGGCGTCGGGCGTTCTTCTTCGAGACGTCCATTCGGGATGAGGCGGTTGTCGAACATGGTCTCAGAAGCTCCAGAATCCACCAGCGCGGAAGTCCCAGTTGCAGTTGTCGTGAAAGTGCGTCCGCTTCCCTTGCTGCATGTAGCATGGTACATGAATCCACCCTTGAATGCATCTTCGTCGTAAGAGAAGTCGATCTCTGCCTGTTCGGTCTTCTCTGTTTCTTTGGGAATTTCTGTTGTGGTAGGCTTGGCTTGTATGTCTCTTGACTGGGTTGAGCAGTGCACGCAGTGTGTGCATGCAGAAAAGGCCTTGCCCGTGCGTTCTGGTCGCTTGGCTCCTTGGTTGTAACACTCTTCGTCGGAGTGTGTAGTGGTGTTATGGACGGAGCACCACTTGGTTGCTCCCGCAGGCTTCGTCTTCTTTGCCCTATGGCCCTCCCGCTGGCGATTGGGACAGTTCCTCCTGACATGTCCCGGTTCGTTGCACTCGAAGCAGATGGGGCCAGATGTCTTGGTAGCCATGGCGAATACGCGGCCAGCGATTTGGCCCTTGGTTCTCTTGCGCATTTGCTCGTCAAGGAAGATGTTGCGCATGGTGGCTTGCATCTGTTGTACGTCGAATGATGGGTCGCGGAAAACCATCATCTTGATGTCCTTGTAGTCCTCGGAGAAACCTTGCACACAGATGTCCTTGAAGCGGCGATCGGAGATGGTTTCCCCCATTTTCTCTAGTTGAGAGCGGAGGCGGTGTTTCTTGTTGAAAAAATCGTCCGGGTTCTCTCCTGGCTCCATGACCGTCCTTTCCAGGTCGTCCAGTTTAGCCCTGATCACTTCATCTGTCACTCGATTGTAGTTGGCCTTCAGTTCCGCGAATGCTGCCTGCCCGTCGCCGCTAAGGCCGGTGTCGTCTTCGTGCTTGTGTACGGTTAGTGCAGCCGGCAGTTCGACGAGGCAGAATAGGATTGCGTAGAGGTCTTCGTTTGCTCTCTCGTATGCGGCGAAGGTGGTGTCCGAGGGATCA